ACTTCGTAAATAATATTACAATGTATTCTCGAGACTCAGATAGTTTTAATCAAAGAAAAATAATTAATACTCTGTTCAATTTATTTAAAACCTTATATACAGTTTAAATATATATCAATATTATTAATAAAACCTTACATACAGTTTAAATATATATCAGTATTATTAATAAAACCTACAGTTTAAATATATATCAATATTATTAATAAAACCTTACATACAGTTTAAATATATATCAATATTATTAATAAAACCTTACATATAGTTTAAATATATATCAATATTATTAATAAAACCTTACATACAGTTTAAATATATATCAGTATTATTAATAAAACCTACAGTTTAAATATATATCAATATTATTAATAAAACCTTACATACAGTTTAAATATATATCAGTATTATTAATAAAACCTACAGTTTAAATATATATCAATATTATTAATAAAACCTTACATACAGTTTAAATATATATCAATATTATTAATAAAACCTTACATATAGTTTAAATATATATCAGTATTATTAATAAAACCTACAGTTTAAATATATATCAATATTATTAATAAAACCTTACATACAGTTTAAATATATATCAATATTATTAATAAAACCTTACATACAGTTTAAATATATATCAATATTATTAATAAAACCTTACATATAGTTTAAATATATATCAATATTATTAATAAAACCTTACATACAGTTTAAATATATATCAATATTATTAATAAAACCTTACATATAGTTTAAATATATATCAATATTATTAATAAAACCTTACATACAGTTTAAATATATATCAATATTATTAATAAAACCTTACATATAGTTTAAATATATATCAATATTATTAATAAAACCTTACATATAGTTTAAATATATATCAATATTATTAATGTTATTTTAGACTATGGATATAAGTGAATACGAACCAATCCTGGGACTGGGATTTTCCACCCCGTCAATCGATCAAGAAGCTCCACCTACATTTGGAATGTTGATATCGTGCATCACCTCCTGTTTTAGGTTGTTATCGAAGGTAAATCTGAATTTTTTGACTAAATTCTTAGGATATCTGAATTATCTGACTGGTTAGAACAAGGCTATGAAAAGTAAATGTTAAGTTATTATTCCTCCCCAATATAATTCCATTTAATTTTTTAATGACACTTGAAATTTACAGACTTTTTCTTATAAGCAGGAAAATATGGATGTAATACTCCATTTTCTGGAGTGAAATTTTGAATATGAATATGTAAATATATTTCAGATTGATCCAAAAGGAGGAAGTTCACCTCACAAATCACCCGATACAGAGGCAGTTCAACTCATTTCTAAGTAAGTTTTATATTTTACAGGACCATAATCTAGAGATTTCAATATAAATACTTGATAAAATACATGGCATTCTGTTGAAAATAGCTCATAAATGGAATCTATGGAAATTTATATGGGATTAATAAAACCCACCCATTACCTTGTGACCACTGCATTTCTAAATAATTTCAAAATAATTAGCAACTGGAACATAGCAAAATACTGTAAATTTAATTACTAATTGTGTATTATAGAAACCATGTAGTCTATGTAATGGATAACAGTCTGTATCTGATCATGTCGCAGGCCTGCCGTTATCTTAAAGATCCTAACTTATCTACCAGAGAAAAACAATTTTTAAAACGTGAACTGGGAGCTGAATTGGTAAGACACATCAAAACGTTTAAATTTTTTACTTTATTTTTGTTTTTAATATGTATACAATCCCAAATCATATTAAAACATTGTAAAATATAGTTATTAATCCCAAGATCTACATATTTCATTCTAATCATAGAAAAAACAGGATTATAAATAGGATATTTTATATTTTCAAATTGTGATGAAATACTACTTAGATTAAAACCTGCATTACAAAGATAGATGTTTTAATCGTTTTGAGTAAGAAAATAAAACGTATTTTTATGTGCTACTGTTTTATGTGCTACTATTTTATGTGCTACTGTTTTATGTGCTACTATTTTATGTCCTATTGTTTTATGTGCTACTATTTTATGTCCTATTGTTTTATGTGCTACTATTTTATGTGCTACTGTTTTATGTGCTACTATTTTATGTCCTATTGTTTTATGTGCTACTATTTTATGTCCTACTATTTTATGTCCTATTGTTTTATGTGCTACTATTTTATGTCCTATTGTTTTATGTGCTACTATTTTATGTCCTATTGTTTTATGTGCTACTATTTTATGTCCTATTGTTTTATGTCCTATTTTATGTCCTATTGTTTTATGTGCTATTTAATGTCCTATTGTTTTATGTCCTACTATTTTATGTGCTACAGTTTTATGTCCTACTATTTTATGTCCTATTGTTTTATGTGCTACTATTTTATTGCTACTGTTTTATGTCCTATTGTTTTATGTGCTACTGTTTTATGTCCTACTGTTTGTTTTACAGAATTCCTTCCTGTCGAGTATGTTACGGTATATGAGAAGAGGGGCAGGACCAGTGTCACCTGTCTCCACTACCCACTCTAGTCCTCAGTCAGCTCATACCCTGAACCGTTCCATCTCACAAACAACCTTCTCAAACAGTCCAGAACAGAAATATCTACAACTGGTACAAGAATTTGTCAAGAAGTTTTTACGATGATATAGATATTACCTATTGAAGTTTTTCTTTACAGAATATCTGGGCTTTATTCTCAAAATCTAAAATAAGATAAAATTCAGATTTTAAGAAATTCAGTAATCTGATTGGATAATAAATCTTTGACATTTAAACATAATACAGCAGTGGAATGACATCCCCTCTCAGTCACCAAATAAAATGTTTTTTTATACAATCAATAAATCGTTTGAATGTAATTCTGACGTCATCATTAGTTATGTGTTCAAGAAAAAACACTAACAATCAACTTCTGTTGACCCTGTGACTAGTTGACCCTGTGACTAGTTGACACTGTGACTAGTTGACCCTGTGACTAGTTGACTAGTTGACTAGATGACCCTGTAACTAGTTGACACTGTGACTAGCAGAATCTTTGAGCAACTGGATTCTGGATGACTTGTAGCAGTTAGATTGCACCAGTTATGATCAGTTATGGAGACCCCAGTCGCGCTTGATTCTTACATCTGTTACAGATTTAAATTCTTCTTAGCTGTATTATTATTATTATTATTTTGTATAGAAAAAACAATAAAACGTTCTGATAAGCTTGTATCTTTGGAGGGCCACGAAACATTTAAATACATTTTGTGTAAACGTTGAAATTGAATCAACTAGCCTGATAAAAGCTATTGTGCTTTTATCAAATATAAAATTATATATTAAAAACATTGAGACGAAGTTTACATAATCGCACAATGCACGGTGTTGCCCGACTTCATTAACTGAAACGGATAAAGACACGCAACATCCTTTTCACCTGCTGCCAATTTCTTTCAAACAAAACAGGCAGTAGAATTTTATTACTTTTAACATATTCTTAAAGAATTTTAGATTTGGTTTAAGAGTTATCAAAAATCTGCTTTTTGGGTTTTTTTTCAGTAAGTAATCCTTTAGAAGTGAACGGAATCCGAAATTTAAAGTAATGTTCACTATATTATTCAGTTTCAACTCAGATTTTAGACATCATAAATATCTGTATCTGTGTAAGTACTTTGAAAAACCACTTCTGGTAAATGATATCAACGGAAGGGAGGAGCGCATGTAAAATTATTAGTCCGAGTGGAGGCGAGAATTAAAAATCTCCCCAGATTTTGCAAGAAATTGTTCATCCTGTAGGTGGAAGGGGTGTTATGGGAAAGGGGCAAAATAGCAACGGACGAAACGGAGAAGGGGTGAAAATGGAATAGTAACCCCAAGCTTCTGAAATCTGCTGGCATCTAGTTGCCTCCGGTAGCACCCAATTCCCCCCCCCCCCCCCCTCCCTCCTCTCAATCATTCTAAATATGCCCCTGATTGTAATAGAGGTTGGGTTCCCTTTTACCTCGCAACAAGCAGTAAATTAATTTGAGAAATCCAACATCTTTACATCTTTTTTATACATAATTATCTGATATAACATACCCACACAGCAGTGTCATTCTTAGTTTAATACGGACAGTAAGGCGGTGGGGAGGGGTGGCACCGGATAGCACCCCTTATTACATACGCCCACATGTAACGAGTATTATAATACTGATAGACAGACAGTTTAGGAGGGATGGGGGTTGTCTAGGTTAAATGATAGTGATATGATTTGTTTATTGTTTCTTAAATATATTTTTTTTTAAAACGTGTGTATAGTGGACAAGGAGTGTGTGGTTTTTAGTGTTTAATTCTTCAAATATAAACGACGCGATTGATTTTATTATTTATAGAAATAGATTGATATTATTTCACTGGAAGATTTGTCAAGTTGATTAATTTTGCTTTTTTACTTTATCGCAGGACATGTATTTGTCTATGTGAAATTGTTGCTTGTTTATATTTACAAATCAAATTTGTACAAGCAAGACAAGCTAGTCAAAAATACAGACGAAACACTTACTACAGAGAATCGGATACAGGTCGTCGTTGAAGAATTGAAGATTATTAGAATGACTAGTTTAGACAGGTGATGAATCCTGTAGAATTAAAGAAAATAAAATATTGGTAATGTTTGAAGAAACGTGGATGTTGATTTATGGAAAATAAAAAGCAACGAATCCTCTGCTACAAATAACCTAATAAAAAAGATAGACACTGTAATTGGAAGGAAATCGAAAATGCCCCACTTTCTATCAGAGGGATAGACATTGAATAAACATTGGTGAGGATTAAAAGCAGATGGTTAAAACCAGACAGTGAGATCAAGACCTACCTTAAATATTTTAGGGACGGGCTCCACTTCTGGGACCTGAAAACGTGTGCATGTTATGTTATGGGTCAACTAGTAGTTTACACGTGCACGAGAAGAGAATTAAACACTAAAATCCACACAATTTTGGGGTCTTTTGTTTTTGTTGGGTAGATGAATTAGTAAGAACAATTTATTCAGGTTAATTATGTGCTTAAAGGGATTGTAAAGAGGTTTTGTATGTGTATCGGGACAATGATGGCATCAATTTGCACCATTCCAATTTACAGTCAGACGTCTGTGGTTCCTGCAATTACACTAAAACTAAGCGTTTTATGACGTCACTAATCGAGAAGTCCTTATGTGATACAGCATATTTTACGATTAGCGATGTCATTAAACGCTTAGTTTTAGTGGAATTACAGGAATCACAGATGTCTGATTGAAAATTGGAATGGTGCAAATTGATGCTATCCGATACACGTAAAATTTTTTAGAAAATCTCTTTACAATCCCTTTAAATAGTAAGCATATTAAGTAAATTGAATCTAAAACATATCAGGAATTTACAAAATATAAAACAAAACGTATTACATGATGGTCAGGATCGATGAGAAATTAACAACAGTCAGTCTGAGGTAACAGGCTGTGATATCTTTTAAGGAATTTTACTAAGCTCAAACAGAATAAAGAAAATAGGCATTTTGCAGTCGTCGTCGAGTCTTATGTTCTTATGAAATACATAGGTCAAAGTAAGGGATTCATAAACAAACAGAAAACACAACAATTTTAATCATTTTATTACATATCTGAAAAAAAAAACAATCTAGATAAGGCATACAACGGAGCCTCCAAGGCGCAATTTTCCATACTTTTATAAAATATTTCGTTTTAACGAAATAATTAATTCGTTTAAACGAAATATAATATATTTCGTTTAAACGAAATATAATATATTTCGTTTAAACAAATTAATTATTTCATTTAAACAAAATAATTATTTCGTTAAATATATGACGTTATTTCGTTTAAACGAATTAATTATTTTGTTAAAACGAATTATTTATATCATTAAAACGAAAAATTTTATAAAAGTACAGAAAATTGCGCCTAAGGGGCTCCGTAGCATACAAAGAAATTTTTTCGTTTTTTTTTAATTTAGAAGACATTTGATAATGAAGCCTTATGTGCACGAATATAGGTTCCACTGCTGTACATTTCATGGTGATGTGTATATTTGAAGGTTAATCTCCGACCACTTTGATTTCAAGATTGAATATCCTTGTAATTTAACAAAAACTAAAATTATAATTCTCAAATGAATGAAGTATGAAAATGAATGACTATTTAGAGTCTACAAAATCGAATTTGAAATTTCCCAAATACAAATGTTTCTAAAACGATGTAAATTTTCAAAAACAATTTAAGGACTTTCCGTAGACATATTATTTCAAATTAGCCTAACAATGAATTCGAATACGATTCAGAAACCGGAGTGGTCGTACATTAGAATAGGGAGCAGTAGGGGGCGGAGAATTAGGCAAGTTAAACTGACAAACTCACAGATTAGGCGCTGGTTTCCAAACCAAATCAAGTTTCCTCTTTTTCAGCTTCCAATGAATAGCGAGACTGTTCATTCCTTGAAAGTTATTTCTCTTCTTGGGATCACTCAACAACAGTCAACAGTATTGTATCAGTCAACAACAACCACCGAAACAAAGTTTGGAATGCACGTGTTTTTTGACAAATTGACCTATTTCATCATTCCAGAGTTTGTTCGTCCTTATTTTACGTGTAGTATTTCTTGTAGCGTCCCTTTCTTTCCAAGAGCCGTCTCACATTCAACAGAATTCATTATTTCTCTTCTAATTTCTCAAAACACAAACAAATATTGAAAATTTTCTTTCAAAAATGGACGCCACGAGTGTTTCTGCAATGACGTCATAACAACTATTACCACCTTTTTATTAAAGAGTTATTTTATGGACAACCATGACGTCAAAAATACATAAATGAATTTTATGAGGGTTGAGAGTCGGCATCAAAACGATTCTCGGAAGCACTGACTGTGTAAGATTTATTTTTTTCCCTAGATTAGGTTTTGAACGAGGCGTTGATGTATATGAGGCTACTGTCGCTTTCAAATGTAAAGGATCTAGCGATTTTTTTTGCATTAAGATTCCATTGTACACCACTAAACAATCCTTTAAAAATATTTCTTTCACTGCTTGTTATTCAGTCATATTTTGAATGGAAATAAACATTGACCCAACGTCACCCAAGAGGAGACAGTGTTAGTTACCAGTATAACCAGATTTTCCATGAAACAGCGTAAATTTGCGAGTTGGTATTAATTCACACCACCTGGTGTAAGTTTCCGGTATAACCAGATTTTCCACGAAACGAAGTAAATTTGCGAGTTGGTATTAATTCACACCACCTGGTGTAAGTTTCCGGTATAACCAGATTTTCCACGAAACGAAGTAAATTTGCGAGTTGGTATTAATTCGCGCCACCTGGTGTAAGTTTCCGGCATAACCAGATTTTCCACCAAGCGACGTAAATTTGCGAATTGGTATTAATTCCCGCCACCTGGTGTTAGTTGCCGGCATAACCAGATTTTCCACGAAACGGCGTAAATTTGCGAATTGGTATTTATTCCCGCCATCTGGGGTAAGTTGCCGCCATAACCAGATTTTCCACGAAACAGCGTAAATTTGCGAGTTGGTATTAATTCGCTCCACCTGGTGTTAGTTGCTGGTATAACCAGATTTTCCACGAAACGACGTAAATTTGCGAATTGTTATTAATTCGAGCCACCTAGTGTAAG